GGGGGGGGGGGGGGTGAGTGAAGTCAGAGAGCTCTCTCCTTTTACACTCTCTCTCTCCCTTTACACACTCTCTCTCTCTCCCTTTACACTCTCTCTCTCCCTTTACACACTCTCTCTCTCCCTTTACACACTCTCTCTCTCCCTTTACACACTCTCTCCCTTTACACACTCTCTCCCTTTACACTCTCTCCCTTTACACACTCTCTCTCCCTTTACACATTCTCTCCCTTTACACACTCTCTCTCCCTTTACACACTCTCTCCCTTTACACACTCTCTCTCTCTCCCTTTACACACTCTCTCTCCCTTTACACTCTCTCCCTTTACACACTCTCTCTCTCCCTTTACACACTCTCTCTCCCTTTACACACTCTCTCTCTCCCTTTACACACTCTCTCTCTCCCTTTACACACTCTCTCTCTCTCCCTTTACACACTCTCTCCCTTTACACACTCTCTCTCCCTTTACACACTCTCTCTCTCTCCCTTTACACACTCTCTCTCTCCCTTTACCCCCCCACTGTCTCTCACTCCCTTCCCTCCTTCTTTCTCTTTGTTACTCACTCCCTCCATCGCTCTCTGTTTTTACTCTCTCCATCACTTACTCTCTCACTTTTTGTTTCTCTCACCTCCTCCCCCTCTCTCCCCCCCTCTCACTTACTCCTTCACCCCCTTCCCCCCCTCCTCCTGTACCCTCTCCCCCTGTCCCCCTCTCTCCCCTGTCCCCCCTCTCCCTCTCCCCCTGTCCCCCCTCTCCCCTCTCTCCCCTGTCCCCTCTCTCCCCCTGTCCCCCTCTCCCCCCTGTCCCCCCCTGTCCCCCCTCTCTCCCCCTGTCCCCCCTGTCCCCTCTCTCCCCTGTCCCCCCTGTCCCCCTCTCCCCTGTCACCCCTCTCTCCCTCTCCCCCTGTCCCCTGTCACCTCCTCTCCCCTGTCCCCCCCTCTCCCCCTGTCCCCCCCTCTCCCCTGTCCCCCCCTGTCCCCCCTCTCTCCCCCTCTCCCCTGTCCTCAGGCTGAGGGCCTCAACCCCAACGCCATTATTTGGTAGCAGGAACTTGCGAGCCTCTTCGCCGCTCTGTGCGAAACACTTCGTATAGAGGCACCGCGGCGAGGTTTCACTCTCACACGTCACCTCCTCGTCGTTCCCAGCGCCCGGCCCTGGGAACATACAACAGCACCTGTGCCTTGCACATGTAAGATTAGGCACCGGGTTAATCATTACTGAATAAGGTTTTGCTGGGGAGCTGTTACTGTTCTTGTTCAATGTTTCAGGACATTCATTTCCTTGTGACATTTTGACATCAAATGCCTCCAGTGTTTAAAATGCCCCCCCAAAAAAAAACAATAAATAAAGTTATTTATTTCTAACCAAAAGAAACCTCTTTGATCGATCCTTCACGTTCTGGTTAGTTCTGAGATGAAACACTTCTATTTGTGACTCATCTGGTTACCCACCTGTGAGCTACAAAAAGGAATGACTCTATACATTTGCCTATTATTATTATTATTATTAGGTTCAGGGTATCAAGGGATATGGAGCAAAGGCGGGTAATTGGAGTTGAGGTACAGAGCAGCCCTAGTAGAGAAGGCGTAACAGGCTTGAGGGGCTGAATGGCCTCCTCCTGCTCCTACGTTCCTCATCAACAATCTGTTCTGTGGGCTGAAAATTTTCGCTTCAAGTCAAACTGAGCTCATGTGTAGTGCCCGGGGTGAGTGACATCCACAATGACACTGTGTGACAGGAATGACCAGGGTAAAGCCTTTATGATACAAGCAGCGTATTATAAGAGGAACAAATGGGGGTGGGGGGGGGGCGGGGGGTGGTGGGGGGACAGGTCAGCAATGGACATGTTAGTGCTATAGACTCACTCTTGTTTTGGACTGTGTCGGAGACACATTTCGCGAAGGTTTTACAGAGAGTTTGTCAGAGAGGGAAAGAGACGTTGCTAATTTTGTCCAAGATTTGTACAGAGGTTCCCGGTGTGAACGACCTACTTTCAGTCACTGCTCTCCATTCAGGTTGTTTTCTTTTGGTGAGTTACCTTTCTATCCGGTTCCCCCCTTTCCCTCTATCCTAAAAAACACCCTCTCTGTGTCAGGCATAATAATAATAATAATAATAATAATAATAATAATTTGGTTGCTCAATCCACGACTGTTTGTGCGCAATTGGCTGCCACGTTTCACCCACAAAATATACAGTCACTACACCACGTTATATTCTGTGAAGCGCTTTGAGACGTAATCCACTCACGCCTCTGGTTACCATCAGTCAGTAGGAACCCGGTTGTTAGTCGATTGGCGGATGGCTTTTCCGGGGGTAATAATCCCTCAAAAAACATGTGGTCACTCAATCCACGACGGTTTGTGAGGGACGCTGCTGTGCGCAATTGGCTGCCGGGTTTCTACCACAAAATACACGGTCACTACACTTTACAGTGTATTCCTGTGAAGCGCTTTGAGGCGTCTCAGTGACATGATAAGGCGCCGTATCAAATGCAAGGATTATATAATGTGGGCTGTCAGCCTCTTGCGGTGATAGAAACTGCCAAACAGACAGACAGACAGACAGACACGCACACACACACACGCGCGCGCGCACACACACACACGCACGCTCGCACGCACGCACCCACGCACGCCTCCGTTTACCAGCAGTGAGTAGGAACCCGGTTGTTAGTCGATCGGTGGATCACTTTCTGGGGGTAATAATCCCTCCAAAAAAAATAATAATAGTTTGATCACTCACTTCACAGCTGTGTGTGGGATGTCGCTGTGCGCAATGGGGCTTCCGTGTTTCGCCCACAAAATGATTATTTCCATCCATCGTCGCTGCCTCCGGGGGTCCCGGACGATGATGGATATTATTGTGAAACGTTGAGATTCTGATGATTATTTTGCCTCCACAGGCGATGGATGCTCGAAAAGATGTTGCCGAGAAAAAGGTAGGCGTTGCTGTTAGCCGAAGGAAATATCGTAGAAAAATGTAGTCGGTCGGCGGGTGATAACAACCCCTTCAAAAAAATATGAATAATTTGGTCGCTCAACCCACGACTGTTTGTGGGGACCGTCGCTGGGCGCGATTGTCCCACAAAACACGCACAGTCGCTACGCTTTACGGTATGCTCCGCGAAGCGCTTTGAGACGTGATTAGGCGCTGTATCAAAACCCGTATTGTTGTTGTTATTAATTATTATTGATTATTATTAATTATTTCTGTTTGGTTAGGTATACGGCAGCATCTTTTGTGATGACATCTTTGTTGCACCATGAAAACAGAGCCGGCGGGAGCTATAACAGCGCAAACAAGAAAGCCAGGTGAGTCACGGGCAGGACAGCAACGACAACTTGCATTTATGTGGCTTCGCCTTCACCTGGGCTGGAGTCCCGGAGAAATATTTTTTTAGAGACGTTGCCTCCATTTTGTTTCCGCTGTGGTAGCTCTCTCTCTCTCTCTCTCTCTCTCGTCTCGGAGTCAGAAGGTTGTGGGGGGGATGGGGGGGGGTGTCCTACGGATGAGACGTTTAAACCTCACTCACTCCCCTCCCCGTCCGCCTCTTTAGGGGGACGTTAAACATCTCCCGCTGAGCTGTTCGAAAAGAGAATGGAGTTTCTCTCTCTCTCTCTCTCTCCCAATTTGTACCTATGTTCACTTATCTTCTTACAGGAAGAAATTTGGTGCCACAGCCCCCCCCTATATAGACTATCTGAAACAGATCTTACGTCGCTACCCAGATGGTAGTCAAATCCTGAAGGTAAATACATCAACAATAATAATAAAGTGCCTTATATTGGACCCGGCGCCTGATCACGTCATCCGAGGCGTCTCAAAGCCTTTCACGGGATACGCTGTAAAGTGAATTGACTGCGTATTTTTTGTGGGCGAAACCCGGCAGCCGATTGCGCACAGCAGCGTCCCCACAAACAGCCGTGGATCGAGTGACCACATTTTTTGGGGGAGGGATTATTCCGCCAATCGACTAACAACTGGGTTCCTACTCACTGCTGGTAAACAGAGGCGTGTGTGTCTGTGTCTGTGTGCGTGTGTGTCTGTGTGAGTGTGTGTCTGTGTGTGTGGAGTCAGGAAACTTGCCCAATGTTTCGCCCTGTCCGGGAATTGAACCCAGGTCCTCTCGCTTGCGAGGCAAGTGCTCTAACCACTGAGCTACAGGACTCCACTTATCTGTGGGTGGGTTTGGAGGGATTCCCTTTTATAAAGAAATGTTTGTTACCTGCTGTTGCCCTAAACACTGCAGATCTGCTGTGGACTGGAGCAGCAGTGAAGGGATTGAGTAGTTTGGGCATCCAGTCAGTGTTAGCGTTCTGCTTAACATCTCTCCTCTCCCCCCAGGAGTTGATTCAAAATGCAGATGATGCTGAGGCCAAAGAAGTGGTGTTCCTGTTCGACGAAAGGTCTTACGGGACATCGAGCCTATTCCTGAAGGACCTGAAATCATTCCAAGGTAAGTCATTAGGTTAAATGCTGGAGTCCTGTAGCTCAGTGGTTAGAGTACTCGCCTCGCGAGCGAGAGGGCCTGGGTTTGATTCCCGGGCGGTCAGGGCAAAACATTGGGCAAGTTTCCTTACTCCACACACACGCACACACCTCTGTTTACCAGAAGTAAGTATGAACCCGGTTGTTAGTTGATTGCGGGGGTAATAATCTCTCCCCCAAAATAAATAATGATAATAATTTGGTCACTCAATCCACGGCTGTTTGTGCGGACGCTGCTGTGCGCAATTGGCTGTCGCGTTCTGCCTAAAAAATGCACAGTCGCTACACTACAGGGGCTCCACAATGTCTCTCCTGTCTGTGTTTGTGTGTCAGGGCCCGCTCTGCTGGTGTACAACGATTCGGTGTTCTCGGAGGAAGATTGGCAAGGAATCCAAAACACCGGCACCAGCACCAAACGAAACGACCCCAACAAAGTGGGTCAGTTTGGCCTGGGGTTCAATACCATCTATCATGTCACAGGTAAAGGCTCCATTCCACCTTCACCTTGGGAACCCTTCCCAGAAAATATCTTATTTTATTTTTAGTTTAAAGGGAGAAGCTAACTGTGTGTAAAGGGTGGCGAGATTTTAGGAATTTAATCATAATAATAATTAATAATAATAATAATCCTCGCATTTGGCCTCATCACGTCGTCGAGACATCTCAAAGCGCTTTGCAGGATACACTGTAAAGCGAAGTGACTCCTTCCGACTGCAACAAATGCAAGGATTAGGATTAAATAAACTCATGGCTGATCTGTACCTCAACCCCAATGACTTGTCGTTGCCCCGTACCCCTCGATCCCCTGAACTAACAAACATCTATCCTCCTCCGTCTTGAAAATGTGAATTAAATCGAGTTAAGGCAAAAGAATCTTGAGATGTTTGTCGAACGCTTTCGAACGCTTGCTTTTTATGTAGATTTGCCGACCATCTTCAGTGGGAAATATGTTGGCTTCCTGGACCCGCAAGAGATGCTGTTTGGCGAGGAGGAGGGAGGGTATATATGGTCACTCGATGACGCTGAGGACAGAAAAACCCTGGAACACTCCAAAGATCAGATGAGGCCATTCAAATATGCCATGGAGACAACCGGCACCATCTCCTGGTCCAACGCACTGAAGGAGCACTACTTTAAGGGGACGCTGTTCAGATTCCCGTTGCGGAGCGAACCCTCGGACATCTCGGAAAACCTCTACGATAAGGACAAGATCTTCGATCTGTTCGACTCGTTCCAGGCCGACGCGGAGACCACCCTCCTCTTCCTCAGGAACGTCACATCCATCTCCGTGAAGCATGTTGACATGGATGGCAACGTCAAGGCGCTTCTCAGGGTCATAGCCTCCCAGCCGGAGTACATCCCGTGCTTCAACCACAACCTGAACGTGGAAAACCAGGAATTCTTTTCCAGCGTGAAAACCTCGACCTGCGTGAGAGCCATTTCCCAGCAAGCCTCCGAGGACGAGAGCCAGAACCATTGGCTGATCACTAGCTGCACGGCCAACGCGGGGGAATGGGCAAGTCTGGACGAGCTGGCCGAGAAGTTGAGTTACATCCCGTACGTCGGCCTGGCATTCCCGCTGAGCCAAGCCGAAACGCTGGAAGCCGGCGGGAAGCTGGAGTTCGAGGGGCGCCTTTGCTGCTTCCTGCCTCTCCCGGACAACGAGAGCAACAAGACGAGATTGCCTGTCCACGTCAACGCCTTCTTCGGCCTCTCGGACAACCGGAGGCACATCAAGTGGGTGGAGACCGACCAGAGGTATGACGAGGTGGCCAAGTGGAACGAACTCCTGATGCAGAAAATCCTGCCTTTTGCCTACTGTCGGATTATCCTGGACGGGATCACTCTGGCACAGACATCGGCCCTGAGACCCGCCTCGGTTTACTATCTGTGGCCAGATTACGAGAGGATGAACCACAAGGAACGTTGGATCCACATCATCTCCAAGACCATCAAGCGATTGCTGGAGTTCAACGTCCTGTTCCTGGCAGCCAGCGAGGAGAAGTGGATCAGGGCCGACAAGGCCATCTTCTTACACTGCAACGACCAACCTGAGATGCAGCAGGCAATTGAGGCCGTGTTGATCGAGGAAGCACATCCTCTGGTGAGGGTGCCAAGCCACGTGTTCAAGGCGATAGAGCTGGCCTGCGCGAACGATGGCTTAAACATGGTGTCTCCCGCGTCCCTGAGGAACATCCTCCAACACTGCGACTTGGACACCATCCCCTACGATCAGAAGCTGTTGTTTCTGGAGTTCGCTCTCCGCGATGGACAATACCGGGAGCTCAACAACCTCCAGCTCCTGCCGCTCAGCAATGGGTCCTTTGTCAAGTTTCAGATCAGCACATCTGATGAGCCGGTGTTCACCGAGTCAGAAGCCTTTCCCCGGTAAGATTGTAATCCGAGTACAGTGACATGTGTTGACTCCATATTGACCTGACCTCTCCCTCTCTGCTCAGCAGGCTCCAGTCTGCTCCCTGTTCCCCCCATCGCACCCCTTTCTTTTTTTAATGTGATCATTTGTAAAGAAACTATCAAAACAGATCAGTAACCTCTTTTGGGGGTTTTATTATACACAGAATTTTACTTCCCAACCTTGAAAGATTTTTGCCCGAAGATCTGAATGCAACAACCCTGGACCATCTACACAAGGTTGCCAACAACCGTGAGTAACTTGTCTCCATCCCTTGGCTAGGATTAAATTAGCTTTGATTAGACTGGGGGGGTTGGGGGGGGGTGGGGGTGGGGAGAGGGGTTGGGGGACTTTAAACCTCACTCCCCGTCTGCCTGTTCAGGTGGACGTTAAAGATCTCTCCTGTGGCGCTATTCGAAAGGAGAAGGGAGTTTCTCTCTCTCTCTCTCTGGCCGACAATCCCTCCGAATGCAATCGGTCACTCACTTCTCGACTGTTTGAGGGGACGCTGCTCTGCTGTGCGCAATTGTGCTGCCGTGTTTCGTCCGGGAACGCACGGTCGTTCCCACTTTACAGCGTACCCTGTGATTCGCTTTGAGACGTCTCGAAGACGCGATAAGGCGTCGGGTCAAATGCGAGAGAGTATTGTTGAGTGTCGACTGCGTGTGGTGAAGAATTACTAGCGGAAAAGCTGCTTTGTTTTGGTGTTTCTTGCAGATATATTTGCAAACGTCACCTGCCTGGATGTGGAGCTCGTGAAGCAGTACGTTAGGAAAGTTCTCCCAGAGAACTGGACGCAGAACTCCGGGCGGGTGACGTGGGATCTTAAGGACTCTCACCAACCTCCGCTGAACTGGATGGTCGAATTCTGGGGCTTTCTCTATAAGAACTGCAGCAGTCTGGAAGACTTCGAAGGGTTGCCCCTCATCCCATTAAGTCCTCTCACGCAATCCCAAAGCAGCATCCAATTGGCAAGCTTGTCCAAAAAGGCCACCATGATTTTTGAAGGGCAGAACGGATGCCAATTGCCCGACGTGATCATTAAGATCATTACCGGAGTTGGAGGTTCCGTCATTCAGAGCAGCAGCAGTGACGATTATCTAAAGCATCAACAATTGACCGAGTACGTTTTGCTACCCAACCCCAGCGGGGTCTTAAAGGTGTTTTTGAACCTCGGATGCGATCAAGTGGCAAAGGAGGTGGGCACGATGGCACTCGAAGACAGAAGGTCGTTGAGGGGTTTCCTGGCTGAAGCTTCTGGCTTTGACGTGGACGAGAAAAACGTCTTGTTTAAGTTGCCCATCTTCCAACCCATGCCCTCGCTGAAGTCGGCCAACAAAGGGCTGGTCGCTGCGGCTAGTCACGAAGCCGTGAGCAACGACATTTTCCCCGAGATCCCCGATGACGTCCTCTTGCCAGAGACCGTGCTGAGGTGCGTCGACGAGAAAGACCGGAAGCTTCTCCTGATGAGAGGCAAGTTACTGACTGCGGCGGATGTGGGGTTGCTCCTGTGTAAGGGGGTGGAAAGCCAGCGCTATGAGCCCGAGCAGACTGAGAGAGCCATGCTGTGGGTACTGAGATACAGTGAGGTCCTGTTCAAGCAGAAACCAGAGTTGCTTCACAGATGCAAAGCCTTGAAGTTCTTGACCTCCAAGGACAAAATGGTGCAAGCTTCCGCCTTGTTCGATCCGAACAACTCAGCCTTCCAGGACCTCTTCCAGCCGGAATTCCAGCACCTCTTCCCGTCTCCTGTTTTCTGCCAGGATGAGAAAGTACTGCAGACCCTCCAGAGACTCGGACTCAAGTGCAAGGAGGAGAATATTGGACCGGATGATGTCCTGAAGGTGGCCAAGTTGATAGACAGGCAGCAGAGCCAGCCCGGCGACCTCAGCGATACGTGTAGAAGAGCCGAGGCCCTGATCGCTATCTGCAACCAGACCAGTGTCCTGGCCAACTGTACCTCCCAGATTATTGAGCAGTTATGTTCCTTGCAGTGGGTTCCGAGCTTTTCCAAACTCTCGCCAGAACCCGTTGAGGCGAATATAGACTTTCACAAACCTGAAAACTTACGGGACTCAAAGTACAACAACATTGTCGGCTCTGGCATGTTACTGACCGACAGGTTTATAGAAAAGGCTAGTAAGATCTTGGGTCTGACCAGCCTCCCACCAGCTGAGAAGGTGGTGGAGAATCTTCTGCTCATCGTCCAACAGGTGGACACCGTCAATTATTCCAACTATAATTTCATGGGGGATTTGCACACAATCTATGGGCACATGCAGAGGAACCTGAGCCAATTCAAGGGGCTGCTGATGGGTGTGGAGATGCCTTGGGTTTGGGACGGGGCTGGTTTCTCAAGGCCTCAGAGTATTGTGTTCTCCTATCCCGAAGGGTTGGATCTCAGCTGCTACATGAAGAAAGTTCCTCAGGAGATCTCACAGTACAGAGAGTTGCTGACTGAGTGTGGGGTCAAAACAGGTTACCCCAGCGAGGAGATCATCCTAATCCTCCACCACGTAAAGAGCAGCCTCGACAAGCTGAACTCCGGCTACGGCAGCTCGAACGAACTGAAGGCGATCATTTCTATCCTCGATTGGATGCGCAGGAAAAACATCGCTCCCAGTGATGATCTTCCGGTCCCCGTGTGGAAAGGCAATCAAGGCGGGTTCTGCTTACAGCCGTTGTCCAACGCTGTCCTGTGCGACATGAACAAGGAGGCTCTGGACGACGTGAACAGGGATGGAGAAACTTTCTACGTTGTCCATGAGGAAATCAGCCTGGCCACCATCGAGTGGCTGAACGTTCCTGCTTTGAGTACCCGGGTGCTGAACCCGGAGTTGTTTGGGATCGAGCAGTACGGACAAGTGGAGCCCTTGATCCTGAGGATCAGGAACATCCTCAAAGAGTACGATCAGGAGCACGACCTCTTCAAGGAGCTGATACAGAATGCAGAAGACGCTGGGGCCACGGTCTGTAGTTTCCTGGTGGACATGAGACAAAGCAAGGACTCACCTGAAACCCTGATAGACCCTGGGATGGCCTCCTGTCATGGCCCAGCCCTGTGGTCCTACAACAACGAATGTTTCACCGAAGCGGATTTTCAGAACATAACGCGAGTCGGGACGGGAGCCAAGGCCAAACAAGTGGAAAAAATTGGTAAATTTGGGCTGGGATTCAACTCTGTGTATCATATCACCGACGTCCCCTCTATCCTGAGCGGCAAATACCTGCTTATTTTTGATCCCAATGTTACTCACCTCAAGAAGCACATCCTGTCTGCCACCAACCCCGGAATTAAACTCAATCTCTACGAACACAGGCGGTTAATTCAGAGGTTCCATGGGCAGTTCAACCCCTACAACGGGATATTTGGCTGTAATTTTAAGATCGCTGCCGGGGAAAATTTCTACTATGAGGGGACACTCATTAAGCTACCGTTCAGGACACCAGAGGAGGCCACAGTGTCTGAGATCTGCAACAAGTATTACAACCAGAAGCACATCATGTCCTTGGTGGACAGCTTCAGACAAACCTCGAAAGACCTTATCGTCTTCTTGAAGAACGTGAAGAAGGTCTCGCTCAAGTTCATTAGCGAGCATTCAGTCCACGAAAACCAGGTCATCCCCGTCTTCAAAATGGAGAGGCAGGTTCTGTGTATCATCGAGGTCGCGGACACCTTCCCCATCAAGAAGATGCAGGAGAACGCCGTGAGCATACTGGAGAGCACCAACAAGTTCAACAGGAAGATTAAGAACTTCAGCACCTCGACCATCATCCAGTTCACCGAGGAGACCATCGACAACCCAAGCCAAATGAAATACTGGCTGGTCCATTCGTGTTTCGGCATGTCCAAGGCCTTGCAAATCGCCTGCAGTAAAACCGTCAACACCTACTACGCCCTGCCTCTGGGTAGTGTCGCTGTCCCTCTCAGAAAGCGGAAGGAGACCGGACATTGGATGCCAGACACAGAATCCCCCGTGGGACAAGTCTTCTGCTTCCTCCCGCTGTCTGTCCAGTGCGGTCTCCCTGTCCACGTCAATGGGACCTTTGCCGTCACCTCGAACAGGAAGAACCTGTGGAGCACCGGCTCGAAGGGAGATTGGAACCAGGCGCTTTTAGAGGACGCTGTTTCTGCGGCCTACATCACGTGCGTGGTCCTGATGCAACAGATGGCACAGAAGGGGGAGATCGAAAACTACGACTATTACACCTACTGGCCCAACCTCAAGAAGGTGGACAATCAGTTCCGCGTGGTCCTGGAGAAGTTCTACAAAACAGTAGCTCACGGCATAAGCGGGGTCTCGATCAAAGCCTTCAGCAACGGCAAGGAGTGGGGCACCATCAGCGAAAGCCGTTTCCTGGACTCAGTGGTCCTCACTAACAGGAGAGTGGGCGCGGCTGCGGTGAGAGAGTTTGCCAGGTATCTGCCCAAACCCCTCCTGGCCGTCCATCTCCCAGACTGGGTCAGGAAGGGCTTTGTGGCCAGCGGCTGTGACAGCGTCATTGACCAAAACACTTACACCTGGGAGTCGTTTTACAGGGAGATCGTGTTTCACAACTTGGGCGTCTTGAACCACAAGACCAGGAATGATTTTGTGGTCCACGCCATTGACATGAGGGATCTGGCCATCGACGAGATGCTGAGGACAACGGCTTGTGTTCCCATCAGCGGCCGATCGGAACTCCAGCGTATCGAGAACCTGGTGCACCCAGAGGGTAAAGTGGCCTGTCTTTACGACCAGGAGGATGGGAGGTTCCCTGTAGGAACACTGCAGGATTTCCTGCATCCCGAAAGGCTGTTGAGGTTGGAAATGCTAGGAATGACCAAAGACAAGATCTCCTTTTTGGAGTTAATCCACAGAGCGTGGACGGTCAAGGAGATATGGAGTCACGACAGGAACAAAGCTTATCAACGGACACGCAATATTTTGGATCTACTTAAAGACCAAGAACAGTACAACAGTGACAACCAACAAAAGTTACAGAACATCCCATTGCTGCCCGCTATGCTCCCACACAGTCAAGTCAAAAAAGGCCCTGGAGATAATATCGTGTTGGTGAGAGCTGTGGACTTGTACAGCTGTAAATACCAAGCTCTGGTCAATATGACAGAGATGATATTGGACCGCGATTTGTGCAAAGGCATGAAATTGTCCCCAGAAGCCATCTCCTTCCTGGGGCTGAACAAGCAACCTCCCGTGGAGACTGTGTTAGAGCAACTCAAACAAACCTACAAGTGTAATAATCTGGCCGTAAGCGACGTGAAGAGGATAACGAAGGAATGTTACAGCTATCTCTGCAAACAACTGAAGGCAGATCCTGATTCCAAGGACAAGATCTGTCCCTCTGCTCAGGAATTCCCTTTCATGTTCGTCAACGGGGAATTTGTGTCCGTCAAGCTGGTGGCCCGGAAGGTGTCCTTTGATATCGGGCCTTACCTCTATGAGGTTCCCAAAGAGTACATGGAGTGCGAGGAGCTGTGGAAGTGCCTGGAGATTAAGGAACGTTTCAGGTTGCAAGACTATGTCTCCGTCCTCAAGAGGATGTCGGAAAAGTACGGTAGCTCGAGGTTGTCGGAGAGTGACCTGGCTGTGTGTCTGAGGATCGTGACCACCGGTTTTATTGAGGCGTCAGAGGAAGAAGGGATGGAGTCCTTGGAGGTGCAAAATGTCCTGCTTCCTGACCAGAACCTGATCCTGCGCTCTGCCGAAACACTGCAATACAATGACACCCCTTGGCTGATCCTGGGAGATGATGTCAACCTTTGCCACCAGCTGATAGCCAGAGATACCGCTGTGCGTTTCAACGTGCAGACCACCAAACACAGAGCCTTGAAGAACCTCCAAGTCAGTGACTTGTCTCTTTGGGCCCAGGAGTTTGGTCAGCAGGAGAAATTGACCGTGAGGCTGAAGAACATCATCAAGGCCTATCCCTCCAAGAAAGACATCCTGAAGGAGTTGATCCAGAACGCCGATGATGCGGAGGCCTCGGAAATCCACTTCATTTGGGACCCCAGGAAGCACGGCCACACCAAGACCTTTGGAGAGGAGTGGAATGCACTCCAGGGACCCGCGCTGTGTGTCTACAACAACAAGAAGTTCACGGACAAGGACATCGAAGGCATTCAGCAACTCGGGGAGGGGGGCAAGCGTAACAATCCCGAGAAGACGGGTAAATACGGCCTTGGGTTCAACTCTGTCTACCACCTGACGGACTGCCCCTCTTTCATATCCGGGGACGGAATGCTGTGCATCTTTGACCCTCAGTTGGCTGTGCTTTCCACAGCCAAGCCCCACTCCCCCGGGGGCATGTTTGTGGTCAACCAGAAGTTCAAGAAGACTTTTGAAGACGTTTACACTACCTTCCTCCCGTCTTTCTTCAACCTGGAGCAGGGCACTATGTTCCGCTTGCCTCTCCGGACCGCTGAGATGGCGGAGAAATCGGACATCTCCAAGCAGGCGGTCACCAAGGAGGTCATCTTGGAACTGCTGGAGGTGCTGAAGGAGAACTCCGACAGCCTCCTGCTGTTTCTCAACAACATCAAGAAGATCAGCTTCCACAAGATGGACAAGAAGGCCAGCGAGATGCAGGAGATCTTCACGGCCGAAGTCAAGATGTCCACAGAGAGCACCAGGGAGCAGGAACATCTGAAACAGTACATCAGGAAGTTTACCAGCTCAGCCACACTGGTGACCAGGATCGAGCCATACCAGGTCATCTACGAGATGGAGATACGTTCCTCTTGCAAACACAGAACCAAGTGGATCTTGGCCAACAAGGTGGGCGTCCCCGACGCAGAGGTCAATGAGTCCGTCCAGGACCTTTGCTGCAACTTGGGTCAAGTGTTACTGCCCCGGAGTTCCGTCGCTGCTTGTGTTAACTGTGACAGCTTTCAGGGGAAGGCCTTCTGTTCCCTGCCCTTGCCCATAGAGACCGGCCTTCCCGTCCACGTCAACGGGAACTTCGCCGTGGACTTTGCCAGGAGGGACCTGTGGAAACAGGACGGGCAGAGCGGTAAAATGAAATGGAATAACTTCCTGAAGCTCTACCTGATCGCGCCGTTGTACGCAGATTTATTGGACTACATCCGCATCACTCTATCAGGCGGGAGAGCGAGCGTCCTGAAGTTTAACAGTATGGAGTTGTGCAGGAATAACATTGAACCTCATTACCTCTGGTTCTTCCCTCACGTGTCTGAGTCTGTCCCACAGGAATGGCAAATCATGATCAACCAGGTGTACAAGTGCATGTACCAGCGAAATATCTGCCTCATACCTATCGTCAGGCACGAGAGCATCCAGTTTCACCACCTGGGGGAGAAGAAGATCATTAACATTACCTGGTCCAGTCTGACCAAAGAGAAACGGGATGAGGTGCCTCACTTTGTCACTGCCCACGTGCACAGCAAACTGGTTGAAATCCTAGAAGACATTGGGATGAATCTGGTCCTCCAGTCTGAATACATGACCAAAGTCTTCAAAGGTTTGGAAAGAGCGGGGATGGATTCGTTGATTTTGAACCCGGGTTCAGTTAGAAAGTTCCTCCAGATCCACCCGCTGAACAACCCGGATCTAACTAAGAGCGGCATCCCTCTACTCCTCGGTCAATCCTTGATCAAAGACGGGACCAGGTGCGTGGCTCTCTTAGACTACTGCGTCTCAGACGTCAAGGAAGGGAATTACAGCTGTATAAACCACTTACCTCTCTTAGTCACCCAAGACAACATGCTGAGAAAATTCCAGCGTGCCTCTCCCAAATTTATCTCTAAATTCCAGGAGTTATTTCCCGAATCCCAAGTCTGCTTCGCCAACTACGACGTCAACAAGAAGTACAAGGACCTTCTGATGGCTGCTGGCTTTCTGGAAGACTTCACCGTTTTCCGGGCCGAGCAGTTCATCCGAGACAGACTTGGGTACCGCTTCCAGATCAACTCCACCGACCCCCATCTCTGGCTGAACTGGACCGAAAACGAGGTGTTCTTTGACTGGCTGAAGAAACTGTGGAAATACTTCGAGAGCCAGTTGAGGTGCAACGAAGACGAGAGCGAGAACACCTTTGAGAAGCTGAAGTCCTTATTTTCGGACCTTGCTATCTTACCCGTGCTGTGCCCAAGCCACAATAATCAACGGCTGCTCGCCCCTCTGGGCTCGTTGAACAGTGTCATCTGTGAAATGGCCCAAAACAGTCTCGCCCAGATTCTGCTCAAACTCGGGTTCGCTAAGATCTCCTCTGATTACTTTTCCTTCAAGGTGATGTTTAACTGCATCCGACCCAATTCTCTAAGGACAGACGACAAAACCGCCATTCTGGAGCAACTGTGCATACGACATTTAAGCTGGCACAACTTAAGCGAGTGGGAGATCGAAACCATTCTCAGGTTTCTCCATTCGGGAATGAAGAGCAGCGAGGAAAAGCAGAAATATCAGGAGCAGCTGAAATCGCTCCCTCTCTTCGAAACCATGAAAGGGGATTTCGAAAGCATCGAGAAATATGTCGTCGTCTACATCCTCACCACCCAATTCAGCGAAATCTTCCCCAATCTGTACGAACTCGACCATTCGAGTATCTTTCTGAAGAAGACCAGGATCAACACGGAAATGTCTGAAGATATAGGGATTCGGGTGATCGATGATCTGGAGTTTTTCATGGACTATATACTCCCAAATGTTGATAAAATAGCGGATGATCAGACGTCAGATGTCTTACGCCTGTTGTACAACATAATCTGCTATTATTACCCCTTGTATGAACTCAAGAAAGAGCAAATTGTGCTCAGTCTCAAACACATAAAGTTGATTGAAGACAAGAGTGGGGTCTTCCAACAGGTAGACTACTTCTACGAAGATAGTGAGCCCCTCTTCAAGATAATGATTCCCAGAGAAAAATTTGTGCCCCCGACCTTCTTCAAGGAAATGGGATGTGCCGTGGACGATTCCTACCTGAACAAGTTGCTCAAAGACTTGGGCATCAAGTGCTCTGTCTCGCCTGACGATTTCATTGCTTTTGCCGCTCAAGTCTCCTATGAGGCCAAACGTTCTACTCCCTTGAAGGAACTCATCGAGAAAAGCGACGTTTTGATCTCGTACCTGTGCAACCTGGACGAGGACACCTTGGAGAAACGTTTCTATGACAAACTGGCCAACATAAACTTCATCTACCCCCATAAGGTCCGGGATAACTTGCGCGCTTTGCATGCTCCTTACGCCGAAGGCAGGAACTTTTTGACCTTGAAAAATTCGCTGGTCAAACAATGCGAGGAGGACGAGGAGTTGGTGTGGACCTCCATGCCCATCCTCCCATCCAAATTCAGCCAAACCAAGAACAAGCTGAGTCTAATGAAGGCCGCTGGAGCCATCTGCGTTCCTCCGGAGGATTTAGTTGTCTCCAACCTGAGGAAAATCTGCCTTGTCCCTTGCAAAACCCCCAGTGCCTCGAAAACCAGGACGAAAGTGCTTCAGATCACCTATGGCTTTCTGCAGAGTCGAGCCTTTGACGTGCAGGCGCTGGCAGATCTTCCCATCGTCTTGGTGGAGGATGACACCAAGTTGGTGAGATACAACCAGGTGGTCTTCTCCTTGCAGAATTACAACGAGTTCCGGCCGTACCTGTACAGGCTGCCCCCCCTGCTGGCTCCTTACAGGGAGTTCTTCCAGAAGTTGGGAGTTGCCTTGGAGCCATCGTCCTCACACCTGGCCCAGGTCCTCCGAGCCCTTTATGAGGATTGTAAGAAAATGAACAGTTTGAACCCGAACCAGATGACGACTGTGAAACGCACTCTGCACCATCTGTTCTCTCTCCTGGAGTCCAAAGCTGAAGAGAGGTTGCTCGAGAAACTCAGCCCCTTGTATCTCCCAGCCAGCGACGCTGGCCTGTACGCCTCTGACAGCCTGTGTTTCAATGACAGGATCACGACCGACTCCCGAAGAGACGTCGGCGTTCTGAAAGGAAAGTTCACTTTCCTGGTGGATCTGGGCGAATGTCACCTCAGCTCCGATCCCTACAAGCAAATCAACCTCCTACACTTCCTCCCAGAGGAAATTCGACCCAAGATGCTCTCGCAGGTCACGGAGGAACTCCTGAACGAATCGGTCCTGCAGATATGCCCCTATGGAAACAGCTGCGAGTTCCAGGCTGAGTTTTACAACCTCCTGGTGTCCCCTTATTTCATCAACGGTTTAGTCAGCTTAATCAGAAGTCAGTATAGCGGGAACTTGACTGAGGGGGAGGTGGTGCACAAGTGTGAAAAGATCTTCACCAAAATTCAAGTGATCTGCTGTCAGAAGTTGGAGACAATCCTCTGCTCAGGGTCAAAGCAGTTGAGGAACACAAGCATTGAGAAGCAAGTTTACACCAAGGTGAGTGACACAGGTAACTGTATGGTCTTCCTGGAGCACAAAGACAACATGCAGTTCAGCATGAGAACAGTCATCATCCACTCAATGGCCACGGAAATCAACCTCCTCCTGAACAACGCCTTGAGCAAAGATTCCTTGCTGTTCCTCGTCCTGATGCTGAGCTGTGAAGATCCACAGGACATCAAGAAGATTCTGGAAGACAAGGGGATTCACACGACCAACCTAAAGCCACAAAGCCCCCTGGACTTACCCAATCCAGGTGACCCCATTCCTGAAGAGCTCATCCACACCTTGGAGATGGACATCATGCACAACTTCAAAGTGGGAGAATACGTAGGCTACAAGGACACCACCTCTAATGACTATGTCTACGCCATTTTCGTGGAGAGATTAAGCGCAGAACTGTATATCAAGGATACAAAGATGCAGAGCTATAAAATAAAGATAGGATCAGACTCCTACATTATTGTCAACAACCTGGACCTCTATAAGTTCAGCCAACAAAAGATATCCGTGGGCGTGTGCGAGGACCTTGTATTGGTGGATAAACCACAGAACACGCAACAAGCCACCAGCCAGAAGTACGAATCCTTCGACAACATAAAGAGGGAGATTCACGAATACCTGAGGGAGATCAGACACCTTCCCAAGGACGAGAGGCAGAAGGCAATCCGCAGACTCTACCTCAAGTGGCACCCGGACAAGAACCCAAGCAACACAGAGGTAACTACCAAACTGTGCCACTACATCCAAGAGAAGGTGAAGGAGCTGGAGATCGTCAGGGCGGAGAACGAAGGGAGTTCCTCTAACCACAAGGGTTCCTTTTCCAGCAACGGGGAAGATTTCTCCTCGTTCTTCAACCAGTGGAACAGCGAGGCCTCGAGACACAAGCGTGGCAGGACGCAGTACAAGAAGAGTTACTCGGCCAACGACTTTCGTTTCTGGTCCTTCTCCAAAAGGCCGCGTTCCAACCCCGAGGAGGCTGAGCGTTGGTTCAGACAAGCCAAGTGCGACCTCATCGCAGCCTCCAACGACCTGGGCTGCACCGACCTGGGCTGTACGGCCACCGAATGGTTCTATTTCAAGGTCCACCAGGCGGTAGAGAAAGCCCTGATTGCCGCGGAGTACATGAAATCGGGCAAGTCAGGCTGTGACCACAGCATTAAGTCCCTGGCCACCCAAGTGTCTGGGTTCAGCACTAAGCTGGCAGACCTGGAGAACCTGGTCAACAAGCTGAAGGAACGTGGTGTGGACAGTAAGAAGACCCAGTATCCGAGCTACCACACCCAGCCACACGTCCCAAACGATCAGTTCAAGGCGGGTAACGAAGAAGAGGTCCTTAACTTAGCGCAAATGGTGTTGGGTAAAATCGAGGAGTACATCTCCAATAAATCGTAGTGCCCTCCGTGTTGACGTTAATCAATCCTGTTTACGGTGAAAATTAAAGCTGATACGACCTTTTAGCCTCCAGGATATTGCTTTCAAACCCGTGTCTGTCCGCAGGAATCAGCTGTTGTCCTAATCAGTTGCTCGAACACCTTTTGTCTATTTCCCGTGTTCGGGCCACAAAAACACACAGTCCAGTCACTTTACGTGAAGCACTTTGAGACGTCTCGCAGACGTGATGGAGCTCTGGGTCACGTGCCAGGATTATTATTACCTTCACAATGCCAGGTTAACGCACATCCCTCAACTCCTCCGACTTGTGTTATTGCGTGACCCGTGTTTCAGAGAAAGGAGGTCAATCCAGTCAGGTCTGCAGCAACTGGTACAGGAACCTTCTCCTGTGACCGCCACTGAGTCAGAAGGTTGTGGGGTTCAAGGACATGGAATCACACAGTATAAGCTGAGGCTCTGATGCAGCGCTGGGTGGGGGGGGGGGGTTTGGGGGTGGGTTGTTGGGTTGGGGTGGGGTGGGGGTTGCATTGTCAGAGGCCCATCAAACCTCTTTCACTCCCCTCCCCGTCCGCCTGTTCAGGTGGACCTTAAAGATCTCTCCCACAGCTCCGTGGGGAAAGAGTAGGGAGTTTTTCTCCCACTCTCTCTCTCTCTCTCTCTCGCTCCCACCCAATGTCTTGGCCAACAATCCCCCAAATAAAAAATTGGTCGCTCACTTCACGGGCTGTTTGTGGGGACGCTGTTGGGCACAAATTGGCTGCCACGTTTCGCCCACACGACGCACCGTCACTACACTTTACAGTATATCCTGGGAGGGCTTTGAGACGTCTCGATAACCTGATCAGGTACTGCAACAACAATAACAAGATTACGTTTGTATATAGCGCCTTTCACGTCGGGAAATTAACTACATCAAATGCAAGGATTATTATTATAGCAAACAAGGATTATTATTATTATTATATCAAACAACGATTATTATTATATCAAACAACGATTATTGTTATTACATCAAACAACGATTATTATTATTCATTACTCTGAATGTGTGTGTGTGTGACAGAGAAAGAGTTGTGTGTGTGTGAGAGAGCGATAAGAGTTTGTGTGTGTGGGAGTTGTGTGTGTGAGAGTTTGTAGGTGTCTGTGAGTGAGTTGTGTGTGTGTGTGTGTGTGGGGGGGGGGGGGGGAGTGGGGGGGGAAGGGGAAGAGGTGTGTGTAAATGTGTGTGCAAATACATGTGTGAAAGTGTGAGTCTAATTTATTTCAGTAAAATGAACCCCTGATTCGAGTGTAAGAGACCTGGTCTCCTGCACCAGGTCAGTGAAGGGGGAGAGAACACAGGGAGTGGAGGCTTCAGTGAAGGGGTTTACTGCAGAGACAGTGACAGGTTATTAGTTTTATTAATAGTATTATTATTAATATCACCTCTTCCCACGTCAGGAGTTGGTAACAGCTGGTGCTCAATGTAATGTCCCTCGTAACATCCACTCCTTTGTTCGCAAACAGACCCTCTCCCTCCCTCCCTCCCTCCCTCTGTGTCTGTCTCTGTCTCTCTCTCTCTCTGTGTCTGTCTCACATCACATTAATTTACTTATTAACTTCCATCCACTGAGCTCCTGAGGGAGTTTTTTTTTCAAATAAAAAAACAATGAGAGTTTTCATTGAAGAGAGAGAGAGGAGAGGAGAGAATTAAAATACCAACCCCCCCCCCTCACCCCACCCCACTTTTTCTTTAATGTATTTATATTATCAAAAGGGAAATATATTTTAAATGTAGAGGTCATTATTTTTAACGTCGGTTTCAAGCCAAGAGTTTGCGAGAGAGAGAGAGAGAGAGACACAGAGAGACAGAGAGACAGACTGCACAACCATGAGAAAATAGTGAGTAACTAACGTTCAATGTTGTTCCCAATCTCTGGTATTTTGGGGGTTGGGGTGGGGTGGGGGGGGGGGGTCAAAAGCTGGGAACTTTGCTCTGAATAAGGTGACTTAATGCTCTCACAATAATAATAATAATAATAATAATAATAATAATAATTAATAATCCTTGCATTCGAGGCAAGCGAGAGGACCCGGGTTCAATTCCCGACAAGAACAACTGATATTTGCTCGAGCGCCTTTCACGTCGGGAGGACGTCCAGAGTCACGGGAACGACTGTCGGGCTTCGATGCCGCGATCGGGCGCGACGTGAATCGCGACGGTTGTGAGGTTTACAGTCTTTGCTTGCGGTTTTGTTTTGGAAGCACTGAGCTGCTGTTGCTGAACTTCCCCTCCTACCTGTTCTATAACCTGCTGGAGGATATCGGGGCTCTGGCCAACGCCTACGTTGGGGAACTCCAGCACAGGCTCTTCAGCGGAGATTACCAGCTCTTCAAACACGCTCCAGTCTTCGAAAGCAACTTCATCCAGGTCTGTTCCTAACCCCCCCCTTTTCCGCGTGTGTGTGCGGGCGTGTGCGTGTGTGTGTGTGCGCGTGCGTGTAGGGGGATGGGGGGAAAGGAGAGGGGCACGAGTGTGGTTCGAAACACTCCCCATCTTTCTAGTTATTAACAACAACACGAGTAATCCTTGCATTTGGAGTCCGAACACTTTACAGTGAAATTCTGTGAAGCGGTTTGAGACGTCTGGAAGACCTGAGAAGGCGCTGCACCAAATGCCGGGAGTATTATTATTATTATTAATGTTACCATCACTTCTCACCTGTGTTTGCAGATCACTAAGAAAGGACATGTCAGTAACATCCATCACCGAGTTACAATGGTGACGATTGGGATCACCTCCACAGACCCCACGCTCTACCTCCCCGATGTTTTGCTGATCGCTAAACCCAGCGAACTGCAGATGCAGCTGCAACTCCAGATGTTCAAGAGGAAAATGATGGAGCCCTTAAATTCCAGCAACTGGGTCTCTGCTGACAACTACGCTCCCTTAGAGCTGCTCAGGTGAGGAAACTAATAATAATAATATATAATAATAATAATAATCCTTGCATTTGATATAGCGCTTTTCACGTCTTCTCGACGTCTCAAACTACCCGATTGATTCCCTGTCGATCGGTTACCAGGCAATTTCAGGTTGTATTTTACTAAATAATAATTAATAATAATGCTTGGCATTGTTACGCCGCCTCGTCTCGTCGGCGAGACGTCTCAAAGCGCTTCACAGGATACAGTTACGCCCAGCGACGTCCCCATGAACAGTCGTGGGTTGAGTGACCAAATTATTATAATTTTTTTTAGGGGGGGGGAGGTGGTTGGGGGGGGGGGGTGGGGAAGAGAGGGATTATTACCACCGGATCCGCCAATCGACTAACAAGCGGGTTCCTGCTTACTGCTGGGTACGTAGAGGCGTAATTGGTTGTTATTCGCGAGGACGTGATAAGGCACAATATTAAATGCAAGGATTATTATTATTATTATTATTATTATTTTTTGCCTCTGGTTCCCAGGCTCTTCCCTCTCAAACTGACTAAGATTTCCATCTATGACGAGAAGAAACACAGGCTGCGACTGAAGTTGGCCACACACCAGTCCTTCTACCTCCAGCTCATCGATGCCTGCCCTAAGTTTGAGGAGCGTATGTTCCAGCAGTGGGTCAAACTGCTCCATCGTATCTACACCTAGCGAGCGGAGGGTGTGTGTGTGTGTGTGTGCGCGCGGGTGTTTGTGTGTGTGTACGTCATACAGTGTCTCCAGAGGCTGGGAAACCAATACAGACAGTTATCACAAATCGTGCGCTTGACTGAATCAAGCGAGTGTCATCCCAACACATTGCCTTCCCGAATCAATGTCTCTCTTCGCTGCTGTGCACACACAGAAACACCCACACACTCACTCACACTACACACACTTACATATTCACACACGCTCACACTCACGCGCACACTCACATATTCAAACACTCACACGCGCACTCATTCACGCACACGCACACTTACTGTCAGTATGACCACTCTTTTTCATACATGGCTTTCGAAGCTCACTCTGTCCAGGACAGACATTGGAGGACCATCAAACCCAAAAATTGGATCCACTCAACAAACAAGTATTAAAAAAAGAAACTGATTTGCAACGCTGAGAATCCGCAGCTGTGAGGTCCACTGGTCAGGCTTTGGGGTCAAAACGGGTGTTGGGGTAGGGTGGGGCGAGGGGCTGAATAGTTGGGGGAACAGGCGAGTGGAGTTAGACCACGTGGGGAAGATTGGGAAAACCTCTTCCCCTAAAACTCTTGAATCAACAGGAAGAATAAGAATAAGAGTAACCCTTGTATTTGACACAGCCCCTTATCACGTCTTCGAAACGCCGCAAAGTGCTTCACAGGATACACTGCAAAGTGGAGTGACTGTGTAATCTGTGGGCAAAACGCAGCAGCCAATTGCATACACCAGCGATCCCCACAAATAGTTATGGATTGAGTGACCGCATTTTTTTTTGGGGGGGGGAGGGGGGTGGAAAATACACAGTGAATTCCCTTTACAGTATATTCTATGAAGCGGGTCGAGATGTCTCTCACACGTGATAAGGGGCTGTGTCAAATGCAAGGATTAGTACAGTTATTATTAAGATTTAAGGCCGGAATTCTGCAATTGGACAAATTCTGGTCTGGAACGACATTTATCTGACGCCCTTCGAGTAGATGAGAGTCTCGGAGAGCTCTCAACTCGATGCATTAAAGCAACAAATGTGGGTCCAGGTGGAATTTCACTCTCTCTCCCCCTCTCTCTTCTCCTCTGTCCTTTATTTAATCCCTATTCCCCCCCCTCCCACCTTCTCCCTCTGTCTTTTTTCTCTCTGGGTGAATAAAAAAAAACTATGGTTCCAAAATTACCTGCAATTGAGGAGACATCGACACACCCACCCCCTGGGACACACACACACACACACCCCCTGGGACACACCCACACCCACCCCCTGGGACACACACACACCCACCCCCTGGGACACACACACACACACAACCTGGGACACACACACACACACAACCTGGGACACACACACACAACCTGGGACACACACACACACACACCCTGGGACACACACACACCCACCCCCTGGGACACACACACACACACCCCCTGGGACACACACACACCCACCCCCTGGGACACACACACACCCTGGGACCCCCCCCTCTCCCCTAAGCCAATTACAAGGACGTGGTGGTGGAAGGTTGGAGGTGAATTAAAATAGTTAATGAGCTAAAAAAGCCATCAGATGTCTCCAAATGGATTGGAGACACTCATTCCCTCACAGGTGAAACCTTGGAGCAAAGTTGTTGGTGTGAAGTGGCCTCAGACACACAGAGCCCTCAGTCAAGCCTTGTGGGGGTTGGGTTGGGGTTGGGTTTGGGTGTTGGGTTGAGTCAGTGACTGGCGACGCTATGGGGCTTTGTGTGTGTGTGTGTGTGTGGGGTTGATGTTGAGGGGGTGACGTGACGTGTTGTCTTTGGGTGTAAAAGCTCAACAATAATGAGTTTTTTTTATTGCAAGGCGTTTTATTATAAAAAATAAGAGGAAATCTCAGCCAACGTTAGGTTACAACTCCAATATATTAAGCAAACATTGTGGAGGGAAACAGAAAGGGTGAGTCAGTGATTAAGTTGAATCTAACTTTGGATTTATTGCTTAAATACGATTTTTTTTCTCTCCTTCCCCCCCTTATTATTATTATTATCCCCCCCCCCCCCCATCACTGTGCAGAAGCATGAGTTATTGTGAAGCTGTTTGCTCCTAAACATAATAATTAATAATAATAATTTGGTCACTCAATCCGTGACTGTTTGTGGGAAATTGGCAATCAATGTTTCAGGCATAGTTGGTGCCTCTCCAATTATCAGCTGTTCTGCAATGGGGGTGTTTAATAATTATTATAATAATAATAATCCTTGCATTCGACTTAGTGTTTCATCACCCGGTCAGGATATTTCAAAGCGCTTCACAGAATATGCTGCAGAGTGCAGTGACTGTGTATTTTGTGGGCGAAACGCGGCAGCCAATTGCGCACAGCGATGTCCCCCACAAACAGCCGTGGACTGAGGAGCAAATCTTTTTTTCTGGAGGGATTATTCCCCCCGGAAAGCGATCTGCCAATCAACTGACAACCGGGTTCCTACTCCCTGTCCAGGTGTGTGTGCGCGTGTTTGTCTGTGTGGAGTAAGGAAACTTGCCTAAGGTTTCGCTCTGACCCGCCCGGGAATCGAACCCGGGTCCTCTCGCTTGTGAGGTGAGGGCTCTAACCACTGAGCTACAGGACTTCACAATTTCCCTCCTTCTCCCCTCCCCACTTGCCTGGCTGGGCTGGGCTGGCTTGGCTTGGCTGGCCTGGCCTGGCTGGGCTGGCTTGACCTGGCTTGGCTTGGTTGGCTTGGCCTGGTTGGCTTGGCTTGGTTGGCCTGGTTTGGCTTGGTTGGCTTGGCTTGGTTTGGCTTGGTTGGGCTGGCCTGGCTTGGTTGGCTTGGCTTGGCTGAGCGATGGGGCGGGTGGTGAAGGCGGTTTGACTGAGTTGGTAGGTTAAGAATTGCTAACAGTCGGTGATTGTGATGCAGTCAGTGCGGAGGTGAATGCAGCAGCAGGGAGTGAGCACATGGCTCGCCTCCCTGTAAAACATGTCTACCTCGGTGAACCCTTTCCATTGACCCCATTGCCTTTCCCCCTCTTCTGTGTGCCGGTCGGGTGCTTGGGCTTGCGTGGTGTGTGTTCACTTATGTGCCTCACACTCCAGGAACCGCCTACATGGATATCATGCGTTCCTACTTCTACCACACGCTCCTGGAGGAGGAGATTGGGGTCATGCCTGACCCGCTGGTGGGTGAGCTACAGAAACATCTCTATAATGGAGAGTACCTGCTATTTAAGCAGGCCCCCATCTTCGAGAGCGACTTCATACAGGTAAGAGACCGGCCCGAGACTCGCTCAATCGTCGTCACCCGTAATAACACCGCCGCGCCTTGCGTTTATGTCGTAATACGACAACACGTGACATTTACACGGCACCTCTCGCATCGGGAGGACGTCCCAAGGCGCTGGACAGTCAGGGATTTGGGTCCAAGTTGGGGGGGGGCCGGGCAGGCGGGCGGACGGACGGACGGACGGGGAGGGTGTGGGTGGTTGGGATCAGGAAGGGATGGAGGGCAGGGAGGGTGGTCGAAGGCGCAGTCGAAGAGCAGGGTCTTGACGTGTAAAAAAAATAATAATAATCCTTGCATTTGATATAGCGCCTCATCACGTCGTTGAGACGTCTCAAAGCGCTTCACAGGAATGTGCTGTAAAGCGCAGTGACTGTGTATTTTGTGGGTGAACGCGGCAGCCAATTGTCCCACAAACAGTCGTGGGTTGAGTGGTCTTAATGGTAAAGTTTTGCCCCGGAATACAACAGATAACTGGTTGGCAAACCTCTCCTCCCTCACAGATAATTACTGTTAATAACGATAATAATAATAATAATCCTGACATTTGATATAGCGCCGATTAAAAAAAAAAACATTCTCACAGGACATACTATATATAACCTCTAATCACAGATAACCAGTTGCTAACCCTCTCTCCTGACAGATAACCCGCACCGGTCAGGTGGTGAACATCCATCACCAGGTGACCATTGTAACCATCGGCCTGACCTGCACGGACCCTGACCTGCAGTTGCCGGACGTCATGTTGCTGGCCCGGCCCGGGGAGAGGGACGGCAAGTCCTGGAGCCCGGCCGGCCACCGCGTCTCGTCCTCCTTCAGCTCCGTGGCCCACCTCCCCCCCTCCGAGCCCTCGTCCTGGTCGGCCACCCCCTCGCTGGCCCGCTCCGAGTCCGGCACCGCCCCCCGCCCCCGGGGCTCCAACCGATCCCACCAGGGCCTGGGCCTCGTCCAGCGGCCTCTCCCCCGCGGGCACCTGGAGCTCACCAGGTGAGGGCTGCTCTGTCTCTCTCCCTCTCCGTCCGTCACTCTCTCCATCACTCTCTCTCTCGCTCCCTCTCTCTGTCACTCTCACTCTGTCACTCTCTCTCCGTCACTCTCTCTCCCCGTCACTCTCTCTCAGTCACTCTCTCTCTCTCCGTCTCTCTCCCTCTCGCCGTCACTCTCTCTCTCTCCTTCACTCTCTCTCTGCTTCACTCTCTCTCTCCCTCTCTCCGTCACTCTCTCTCTCTTTCTCTCGCTGTCTTTTGGGAGGTTCCAATGGAACAGGAGGCAGTGTTTGATGAATCGCTACGGTTACATGACCCACATCAGAAGAGGGGCTTTGGGGTGAAGACCCCCCCACCTCCCCCCCACCCCCCCATCTCGCTCGACCCATTGATTGTCTCTCATTTGCATCGCTCAGCTCTTACAGTCAAACCCGTCTGTGTGCTGAGATGGCTGTGGGTTTACACTGGGCAAAGGGGGGTGGGGGGCGTGAAAGGGTGAGAGGGGGGTGGGGGCCGTGAAGAGAGTGTGAGGGTGTGGGGGCGGTGGGGAGAAGGGGAGGAAAGAAGGTCCCAGGCGGAGGGGTTGAGGGGGGGCGGTGTGTGTGTATGTGTGGGTGGGTTGGGTGGGGGGTGCATTGTGACCACTGACCTGTCCCCTCTCTCTCTCTCTCTCGTTGCCCGCAGTTTGCTGCCCCTGAAGCTGGTGAAGATTTCCGTCCATCACAAGCAGAAGCGGAGGCTGAGGGTCAACCTGGCCAGTGGCCGCATTTTCTACCTGCAGCTGTACGTCCACCCGGACTGCGAGCAGAGGGTCTTCGACCAGTGGGTGAAGCTGGTGCACCTGCTCCAACAGGCCGGGGACGCAGACTTCTCCGAGGGCACCCTGCCCACCGACACCGAGGAGAGCCCCCACTCACTCACCTCGGGATTCGAGGGGCACCACCAGCCCAGGCTGCGCCCTCGCTCCAGGACCTCAACCCTGGCTTCGGTGAGAGACTCCGAGACTGTCACAGAGACAGACAGACAGACAGACACACAGACAGACACACACACACAGACACACACACACAGACAGACACACAGACAGACACACACGCGACTGTGTGTGTGTGTGTGGAGTAAGAAACTTGTCTAAGGTTTGGCCCTGACCTGACCCGCCCGGGAATCGTACCCAGATCCCGTGGCTTGCGAGGCGAGGGGTCTAACCCCCTGAGCCACAGGGACAGTTACTTCGGTTTATAACCACGCGTGTCTGTGTGTCTGTCTGTCTGTCTGTCTGTCTGTGCGTGTGTCTATCTGTGTGTGTGTGTGTGTCTGTCTGTGTGTGTCTGTCTGTGTGTGTCTGTCTGTCTGTGTCTGTCTGTCTGTCTGTCTGTCTGTGTGTGTGTCTGTCTGTGTCTGTCTGTGTGTCTGTCTGTCTATGTGTCTGTCTGTGTGTGTGTGTCTGTCTGTGTGTGTGTGTCTGTGTCTGTCTGTGTCTGTCTGTGTGTCTGTGTGTGTGTCTGTCTGTCTGTGTGTGTGTGTGTGTGTCTGTCTGTCTGTGTGTCTGTGTGTCTGTCTGTGTCTGTCTGTGTCTGTGTGTGTCTGTCTGTCTGTCTGTCTGTGTGTGTGTGTGTGTGTGTGTGTCTCTGTGTGTGTGTGTCTGTCTGTCTGTCTGTCTGTATGTCTGTGCGTGTGTTTCAGGAGGTGCACGAGATGGCGATGACAGACAAAGGGGCTCAGATCAAGGAGTTCTGGGGCTGGAAATACGATCAGGAGCGGAGCCGGGAGAACGCGATTCCCGAGAAGAGCGTTCCGGAGACCCGCAGCGGTGAGCGCCCGCCCCCACCTCAGGGAATACGCAGCCCCCTCGCCACCTGCCCGTGCTTTGGGGGGGGGGGGGCACACGTCTCTGGGTTTAAGCCTCCAGGTCGAGACTCGGAATCACATCCCTCCAATGCAGCGCTGGTGGTGGGGGTGGGAGGGTTGGGGGCGGTGGGGGGGCAGTGGGTAGGAGGGGGGGTGTTGTATTGTATTGTCGGAGGCTCCATCCTTCGGGTCAGACGTTAAACCTCACTCACTCCCCTCCCCGGCCGCCCGTTCAGGTGGACGGTAAAGATCTCTCCCGCGGCTCTGTTCGAAGAGGAGTTTCTCTCCCTCTCCCCCCCAACATCCCCCCCCCCCACCCCCCAAAAATAAAATCGGTGTCTGGCTCCACGGCTGTTTGTGGGGGGACGCTGCTGGGCGCGATTGCAACTGCCCCCCCCCCACAAAATACCCAGTCACTGCACCTTACAGTCTCTCCCGCAAAGCGCTTTGAGACGTCTCAACGACGTGATGTCAAATGCCAGGCTTTAAGTGTGTGTTTTCTCCCCCTCCCACCCCCACCCTCTCCCCCTCCCTCACTCCCCCCCCACCCCCCCCCACCCCCAGCAGGGACAGACATCAGCAGCGTGTCCGTGAGCTGTGGGGGCTGCCTGAAGAGAGACAAGGGCCGGAAACCGTGTACCTGTGGACGCCGCAGGAGAAAGTCCGCGCATTGCTGCACGGCTGAAGCCTGCGACTCAGCTGCTAATCTCCCCCCGGACGGGAGCCAGCGACGCGGCAAGAGCGAGGGAGGGGAGCCCGGCAAGCGAGGCGGGGGGCAGGAGAGGGGCACACCCCGAGAGGGGGCCAGGAAGAGCCAGGACAAGCGGGGCAACCGCAAACTCAACGACTGGATTCCGTCCGACGTGGTGTCCAGCGAGCAGAGGAAAGCCGAAATCCTGGAGTGGCTGAAGAAGGCGGAGGAGGAAGAGAGGAGGAACAAGGACGTGCCGGAGATGGGGAACGAAGGCACGGACTGAGAGAGATGTTGATCTCCTCCCTCACTCCCTCTCTCTCTCCCTCGCTCTCACTTCCCTCCCTCCCTCCCTCCCTCCCTTCCTCCCTCCCTCGCTCCCTCCCTCCCTCCCTCCCTCCCTCCCTCTCTCTCTCTCTCTCTCTCCCTCCCTGCCTTCCTCCCTCCCTCCCTCCCTCCCTCCCTCGCTCGCTCGCTCTCTCCCTCCCTCCCTCCCTCGCTCTCTCTCTCCCTCGCTCTCTCTCCCTCCCTCCCTCGCTCGCTCCCTCCCTCGCTCTCTCCCTCCCTCGCTCTCTCTACCCCCTCCCTCGCTCGCGCTCTCCCTCCCTCCCCCACGCAGCTCCACACCGCACATCAACACAGGACCCTAACACATGTAACTCAATACTAGTTATCAGCTTATTTCCACTCGCCTCTCTCTCCCTCCCTCCCTCCCTCTCTGTCCTATTCCCGGCGTCTCTACGACCACGGCCTTCGGGGGAAGAGAGAGGAAAAAAGAATCCCCTTCACGTGCGCAAAAATATCCCTCCTTTTCGCCCCCCTCCCCTCCCAAATAAAACAAAAGGAAATTCTTCAACCAGAAATATTGTAAAGGTAAATTTCAGGACGTAAACTGAGACGTTACCTCCTGTTTATTTAAGCTGGTTGAGGGACATGTAATATAAGATGATTTTCATTAAACGTCTGGCTCTCAGTGTTTCCCACGATATTGTTCCTGGAGTGTGTGTGTTTTTTTTTTAAGCGCGAGCCAGAGGACCCGGGATCGATGCCCGGCCGGGCGAGTCAGGGAGAAACCTTCGGCGAGTTTCCTTACTCCGCACAGACGCGCACAGATTGGCCTCTGTGTACCGGCAGTACGCAGTGTCGCTTTCCAGCGGTGAATAATCCCTCCGATACCAACAAAAAGCGGTCAATCAACCCACGGCTGTTCGTGGGGACGTCGCCGGGCGCAATTGGCTGCCGCGTGTCGCCCACAGAATACACAGTCACTACACTCTGAAGTGAATCCTGTGAAGCGCTTTGAGACGTCTCGAAGATGTGATAAGGTAGGATTATTATTATTAAGCCAGGATTCCCCCCCACCCCATTGGAGAGCCCAAACAACACCTCTCCCCCGCCCCCCCCCCAAAGGAAGAGAGAGAAACGTGTAAGGATCCCGGGGGGGGGGGGGCCTTTTTCATTCCCAACCGGAATCTTGTGACACCAACGATAGAAACAGACGGAGAACAAGACGTTGAAACAAGCAAATGTTTTAAAGTATATATTTTTTTAAAAAGTCATTCTGTCAAGTTTATTGCCCCCCCCACCCCACCACCACCTCACCCCCCCCCTCCCCCCCGCCTGGCATCCCTCCCCAAAAATCCACACATAGCGGTTTTCCAAAATAAAATAATCATCTATGGGGAGGGGGGGAAGAGAGAGGGGAGAGGAGTGGCGGGAGGAGTGGGGGGGGAAGAGGGACGAGGAATAGGGGAGTGGGGGGGAAAGGAGGAGAGTAAACTCTTGAGGGAGAGGTGAGGGGTCTCAGATCCGGTTACTATAGTTACTGTGGTTATATATCACTGATGTTCTGTGTGTTGCCGCCAGAGGCGAGTGTGAAAGTCTTGATGTAACGTGCGTTCTCTCTCTCTCTCTGTCTCTCTCTCTCTGTCTCCGCTCTCTGTCGCACTCTCTCTGTCTCCGTCTCGCTGGGCATTGCTTTGCCGTAGCGAGCGAGTGAGCGGGAGTAAGCCAGCGAGAGAGAGAGAGAGTGTGAGAGAGAGAGAGAGAGAGAGAGAGAGTGGAGTTCAGCTACTCACAGGCCAACTTGCTGTCGAAGCTGGAGAGAGCGATGGTGAAGGCCTGAAGAGCACAGATGGGGTAGTTATAGTCCATCGTGAACACGTCCTCCGCCACGCGCCCAAACTGTAGCAGCACGTAATCAGCTGCAACAACAACAACAGCAGCTCGCGGTTACACAGCTTAGTGTCTCCGAGCGCTTAACAGAGGCCGAGGGGAAGAGAGAGAGGGGAGGATACACTGTAAAGTGTGGTGACTGTGTGTTTTGTGGGCCAAACGCGGCAGCCGATTGTGCCCAGCGGCGTGTGTGTGTGTGGGGGTGGGGGTGAGGGTGCGGGTGGGGGGGGGGGGTTCGCCGGTCACTTACGATCGTCTAAGTTGATGATCTGGAAGTTTTTGACCGAGGCCTGAGTGACTCGCCCGTGAAAATTGAGGACGTAAGACTGCGTCTCCTCGTTCCACGTGGGAGCTTTGTTGTGTAAAGCCAAAATGTTCTCCATGTTCTTATTCTGCCATCGGGTCAGCAAACTCTCGTGCTCCTGAGGGGGGAAGTGGGGGTGGGGGGGAAGAGTGGGGTAAATGGGGGGTGGGGGGGGTGGAAAGGGGTGAAATCACCTTGAAATCAAATTGTTTTTTTTTCTTTTGAAAAAGCACAAAACAACTCTGCCTGGCAAAACCCACAGTCACTACACTTCACTTCACTGCAAAAGTGCTTCGAGACCTCTCGACGGGGTGATAAGTCTGTCTATCGAACGCAGGGATTATGATTATTGTGAAGTGTAAGTGTATTTGTGTGGCTGAGTGTGTATCCGAGTGCGTGTGTGTGTCAGCGAGTATTATTACTATTTATTATTATTTATTACTGTTGAGCTGCAAACTGATCCGGGCTGTGAACTCACGTTTTTGGGTCTGATGCTGATCCTCTCGTCTTCCAGTGTCATTCCCGGGATGATGACCGTCATTTTCCGAGGTCCTTTGAAGCCGAGGACATTGGTTTCCTGAAACGAGGAAATTACCGACCACATCAACGGGCTCTGTCACCCGCTCTCTCTCTCTCCCTCTCTCTCCCTCTCTCTCACTTCCTCTCTCTCCCTCTCTTTGTGTGTGTGTGTGTGTGTGTGTGTGAGATCTGCCCGTGACTGTAAGGTCCCAGAGTGGCACTTACATAGCAGATAGCGACCATCTCCTGCCTGATATTGATGCACTCGGGCACCATGGGAGTCTTGTCGGGATTCATTCCGTTGTCAAACACCGTGAACTTGGTGCCCAGCACGTTGGACCTGGGGAGAGAGGGGAGGGATAATGTTGCCAACAAAACACACAGTCACTGCACTCCGCAGAACTCCCGTGAAAACGTCTCGAAGACGTGATAAGGCGCTATATCCAATGCAAGGATCATTATTGGAGTCTTGTAGCCTCGGTAGTTAGACCACTCTCCTCGCAAGCGAGAGACCGGTCCTGCACTGTGCTCCGCCGCTGTCAAGGCTCTGGGACTCTACCCTGCGTGAGGGCGGTGGGGGGCGCTGCGTAAATGCAAGTTGTCGTTGTCGTGCTGGGGCCTGGATGGTGGGGGAAGGTCGTGGCTGTACCTGAGTTTGCCGATGAAACTGTCTCCATCTCGGGACAGGTTGGTGGGGTCGGTGGAGATCAGGTAATTGGATGTTTTGCTCTTCTTGCGTTTTCGACCGGCCATCAGGAAGATCTGAAAAGTAGCCCCATATACACACACACGCACACACACACACGTGCACATGTACACACACACGTACACACACATACACACACACACACACGTGCACATGTACACACACATACACACACACATGCACACGTACACACACCCCACCACCCCCCAAAAAAATAGGAAATGTTTGATACAATCTGTGCCGTCCGTTGCTCCTACAGAGAATTCACGCACATACAGACACACACCCCCCCCCACCCCACACACACCGACACACAGACAGACACATACCCCCCACCCCACACTCACACACGCAGACACACAGACAGACACACACCCTCCAGCCCCCATAGACACACAGACACACAGTAATGAGGTTCGCCCCAGTTATTCTCCTCTCAGACTGAGAACAGCCGAGTCCTGATTCCTGTTCCCACCAACAAACCCAAACCGGGGCAGGAGCTGCCAGTTTGGGGGAAGAGGGAGGGCAGAGATGGGCCGGGGGGGGTTGGGGTGGGTGGGTGGGGAGAGAGCGAGGGCAGAGTGTTAACCACAGAGCATTAGTAAGCGACACCCTACCTTTTTGCCGTCGTCCCTCTCCAGATGAAGGTAGTAAGTGGGGTAGATCCCCTTGTCCATTCCCTTCTTGTCTCGGGTGATGCGACACTTGATGACTGTGGCTCGTGGGGCGGGAGCAAAGGCAAAGTCCTCCAGGTTTCCCACCTGTATTGCTGGGCTGTCCCCTGTAGGGGTGGCCTGGGGAGGGGGTGGGAGTGGGGGGGGCGGGGAGACAACAACAGCAGCTTAGACTGTCTCTCTCTCTCGCGCACTCGCTCACTCAGTCTTTATTGGGAGCCTGACATCCCACAGTCCCTTCACCCCCTCTCTCCGCTTCGTACACCCTCTTACCCCCATCCTCCCTGCCCTCCACCCCTCCCGATTCCTGCCTCCCCCCCCACCCCACACCCCCCCCCCAGCTCGGGTCCAAATCCGACTGTCCAGCGCCTTGGGACGTTCTCCCGACATGAGACGCACCATGTAAATATCAGTTGTTGTTGTTGTAAAGAATGAGGAAATGGAGAGAGAGAAAGAGAGAGAGAGAGTGTGTGAGAGAGCGAGAGAGCACAGACCTTACAGGCTGTCTTGCTGGGGGCCGTGTCAGTGGGGCAGGGCTGTGTGGGGCTGGAACTCTTCACCTCCTTTTTATCCTGAGTATTATCGTCCTCATCATTCACCACCACCTCCTCCTCCTCCTCCTCTTTAGGGACCTTCTTCCCCTTTGAACCTGAGGTGAAGTGGTCAAAGGCATCAAAAGTCCCATTTATTCCTGTCTTTATTTATTTATCCTCCGCGCTTCACAGGACGTACTGTGAAGTGTTAGTGACTGTGCGTTTTGTGGGCGAAACGCGGCAGCCGATTCGACGTCCCCACAAACAGTTGTGGATTGAGTGACCACATTATTATTTTTTTTTGGGGGGGTGAGGGGGGGGGGTGATTACCCCCGGAAAGTGATCCGCCAATCGACTAACCACCGGGTTCCTCCTGACTGACGGTAACCAGAGGCGCGTGTGTGCGTGTGTGGAGTCAGGAAACGTGCCTCAGGTGCTGTCTGGCCTGGGAAACGAACCTGGCCAACCCCAGGTGAGCTACAGGACTCCCGCAAGGTGTAGTGACTGTGCGATCTTGTAAGGCGAACTCACTCTTTAACTTGGTCTTAGTCTTGCTCTTTTTCTTGGCCGCCGGGGGTCGCGAGTCAGGGGGGGGTTTGGCATCTTCTTCCTCCTCCTCCTCCTCCTCTTCCTCCTCCTCTTCCTCGTCGCTCCATCCCTCGTCTCCCGGCTCCTCTGGTTTCTTCTCCGCATCCCCCCCCTCGTCCTGCCCCTCCGCGGAGCTCTCTCTCCCTGGAATGCCAGTCAGAACAAGAATGAGTGGTTTAGGGTCTCAGCCGAAGGAAAGCGTCTCTGACAACGCCCTGCTTCCCCTCCCTCCCCTCCCCCTTTCTCCTCTCCCCCGCCCTCTCCCCTCCCCTCTCTCTCCCCCCCACCCCACCCCGCAACTGGACGATGAGCTCACAGTCCCCGATGTTGGGGGGCTTGAACCCCGAGCCTTTGAACCCACAAAGGCGAGAAGACTATCTTGAGGGATGGAGGGACGGGGGAGAGGGATGGAGAGACGGGGGGGGGTGGGGAGAGGAGGGATTCCCTCCGGATTGTCGGTGGGCGAGGACACTGACCTTTGCGGTTGTGTTTGTGTTTCTCCTCTCTCTTGGCAAGTCGGGAAGTTCTGTTGGATCTCGGACCCGGGATCACTGGTTCAGGTTCCGATGTAAAGGGTTCCAGCTCTGACAGCACTGCTTAGTGGAGACAACATGAGAGAAACGCGAGAGCGAGAGAGAGAGAGGGAGAGGGAGAGGGTGGGTGGGGTTTTGTGTGTGCGAGGCTGAGTTAGCGGAGCTGGGTGTAGGGGCGAGCGAGCATGGGAATGGGGTAATAATAATAATAATGTTCCTGGCATTTGATACAGCGCCTGATCACGTCGTCGAGACGTCTCAAAGGGCTTCACAGAATATACTGTAAAGTGTAGTGACTGTGTGTTTTGTGGGCAAAACGTGTGTGTGTGTGTGGATTAAGGAAACTTGCCCAACATTTCGCCCCGACCTGACCCGCCCAGGAATCGAACCCAGGTCCTCTCGCTTGCGAGGCGAGAGCTCTAACCAATATAGCACCTGCTTCACAAACCTCCCTCACCCGAGATGTGAAGGGAGTTTCTTTCTCTAACCTTCCTTCTTCTTTCTCCTCTTCTCTCTCTCGCCTCTGGGTTTGGGGGAAGCGCAGAGTTCCGTGTCTATCCCCTCGTCCTGGGCTTCTGTCACACTGGTGTCCATCAGCCCTGCACAGGGCACGGGAATAAATAATAATAATAATAATAATAATAATAATAATCCTGGCATTTGATACAGCGCCTTATCACGTCGTCGAGACATCTCAAAGCGCTTCACAGGATACACTGTAGAGTGAATTGACTGTATATTTTGTGGGCAAACCACGGCAGCCAATTTGTCCCACAAATAGTCGTGGATTGAGTGAGTGATTTTATTTGTGGGGATTGTCGGCGAGATCTTTATACCGCTCACACCCTCACCTTCCTTCTGCCGCTGTTTCCTCTCTCTCCTGGTTTCTCCTCTCTCTCTCCTTTTCACCGGGCTGTAAGGTTCCACTGTCACATTCTCCAGTTCTTCCACCTCCACTTCTACTGGACACAACAGGGTTTTTACAGTCAAGTGTAGTGCCTGTGTACCTCACCACCCCCCACACACACACACACACACACGCACACACCCTCTACACTGCAGTGATAGTGCTGAACATCCGTTGCCTAACCTTCTCTGCGTGGTTGGCTTTTCTCGCTTGACACTATCTCCCTCTCTCTCGCTCCCTCCTCCACCTCTCCTACGCTGATCTCCAAAGTCTCTGCAGACAACAATGTTTGGGAGAGAATAGGAAGAAGGAGATGAGATCGGCTGGTCAGAGAAACCCTACAATAGCAATAATAATAAACCTTGCATTTGATACAGCGCTTTATCGCCTCTCAAAGCGCTTCACAGGATTTATTGCGAAGTGTAGTGACTGTGAGTGAAACGCGGCAGCCAATTGCGCCCAGCGGTGTCCCCCCCCCAACACACACAGTTGTGCATTGAGTGACCACATTATTATTTTTTTTAAATGTTATTGTTGGAGGGATTATTACCCCCGAAAAAGCCATGTTCTAATCGATTAACAACCGGGTTCTTGCTGACAGCTCGGTAAACAGGGGCGTGTGCGTCTGTGTGGGTCTGTGTGTGTGAGTGTGTGTGTGTGTGTCTGTCTATGTGTGTGTGAATGAGTGTGTGTGTGTGTGTTTGTCTGTCTGTGTGAGTGTATGAGTGTGTGTGTGTGTGTTTGTCTGTCTGTGTGAGTGTGTGTGTGTGTAGTAAGGAAACTTGCCTAAGGTTCCAGGCTGCCCGGCCTGGGAATCGAACCCGGGTCCTCTCGCTTGCAAAGGCGAGCGCTATGGCCACTGAGCTACGTGGACTCCGTGAGGTTATTTAAGGCCGAAGACCTGATATGATGGAGCTGGAACTCACAGCCTTGGGACCCAGAGGTGTTGAGTACAGGCGATTGACTACAGGCGAGGGAGTACAGGTAAACAAACACCTGGGGTGCAGAGCCTGTACCTGGTTCGGTTTTCAGGCCCTTTTTCCTGTTGTTGTCAAGCGAGACTCCGCTCTCAGTTCCCTCCTGCAACTTGGTGGCATCTTCCAGTGACTTGAGGTACAGTTCAGCGCTTGGGATCTCCTCCACAGGGAGACTGCTCGACAGGTCTGTGGGGGGTGGGGGACAGCAAAGCACCGTGTTATATACTGACACCACTAGAGACTTCCTCCCCACCCCCACCCACACACACCTCCCTCTGACATACACTTACTCTTTCCTTCACTGACACACTCTCACTCTCACACACTCTCCCTTATGCTGGATCTCACACTCACTCTCTCATACTCTCTCACACTCACTCACTCTCACAGTCACTCTCTCACTCACCCAGTCACTTACTCACACAGTCATTCAGTCACTCTCTCACTCACACAGTCACTCACACAGTCAATCTCACACTCACTCACACACTCACTCACTCACACAGTCACTCACACACTCACTGGCTCTCACACACTCTTTACCCACTTTGGGTGTTTATTATCTGGGTAAGTGTTCGGGTAACGATGAGAGGTGTGTGCGTGAGGGTGTGTGTGTGAGGGTGTGTGTGGGGGGTTGTTGGGGTGGGGGGGGCTGTATGTGGGCGGTATTACCTGGGTAGCTGTTGGGGTAAAGGGGACAGGATGTGCTCAGGGGGGAGGGCTCCTCAGACTTGCGGAGTCGGCGAGGCTTCACCCTGGCATCAGGGTTGGCCTGAACCATCAGCGTCTCCTGCCGTCTGCGTCTCTGCTTCTTCTCCAGCAGGTTCCTCTGGGGGAGAGTGACAGTCAGTGAGAGAGAGAGAGAGAGAGAGAGT